TACATGGTCGATTTACTACAAAGACAATGATGAATCATTATTAAAATGTATTTTTTTTTTTCGAATTCTTAAGAAAACAATTTATGAAACAGTGTGTTTCTTTCACCTTTTGTCAGCCATCTTTATCACTATGCTTGATGAAATTTTCTGAATAACAAAAAAAAAGGAGAGAAGAATCTACATTGAGAGTTCAAGAGTGAGGATGAAACTGAAGAGTAGTTTCAGGGTCCACGTAAAATACAGTTGAAAAGAAGAGTATTAACCAACTTCAGAAAAAAACTCAATAAAAAGATATCCAATTGTGATTTAAATTTGAATCGAATATACAAGCATCCAAAATTAATCCAAAAACTGAAATTCATCAGTTATTTGTCATTGGGTAGACAAGGGGTGTGAGACTGGTTTGATGTGAGTGTCTCTTTTCTTAATCCACACGCACACTTCACCGTCGCGCCCTGTGTGACTAGATATCTTGACAAGAAATGTTCTGCAACGACGGCTACACTGGTCCGAAATGTCCTTGAAACTCGTCACGTCCAGTCCATTTGTCTATCTGTCCTATCGAGATTAGTTCGTGGAGCGGAAAAAGAATAATAATGTAGACAAAATGTGCATTGCAATATCTAGCCTAACAGTATTTAATACTTGATGGATATCTTGACTTCGAGCCATACCTGAACAATAGATTGATGCCAGTTTTACCAGTCCAAATAGCAGGGAGACACTTTTTTGTTTGCTAGGCACTAAGACATTGATAAAAAATAAGTGACTTGATTAGTCTGAAACGTCTTGAACGATAGTCAAGACTAGTAAGAAATCTCTTCAACACCTGTCCTGACCAAATTATTTTTTTAGAATTTATCTTCATTACAAATTCAGAGCATAATGAAATTTATTAGTAACTCATTTTTGTCCTGCTAAATTGTCCATGCAAGTGGCTCAGATTGACCAATAATGAAAAGAACAGGAATGCCATGCAAGGAATAGTTTTCAACATCTAATATTTTAATAAGGAGATATCGAGACATTAAAGAAAACTCATATTAGCTCAACTTGTTTCTTCGTTTTATTAATAGTTTCAATTGTTAGAGAGAATAGTACTCATTTTGAATTTCATTATTATTTATTGTTATGTAGTGATTGTCATTATCATCGTTCTTTCATTCACGTCAGTTAAAGTTTATTCACAATATTCTTGATAATTCTTTGAAATATTAGTGGTATATTTAAGTTACGTTTTTACACAAACAAATCAATAGCAAATGTCAGGCTCCAACACTATTCTGCAATGCAAGACAAAATCTAAATCTACAGGTCGAACAACTAGAGATACTATTTAAAAACAAAACAGAAACGAGCGGTTCCATCAGCTACAGCAAAAAATAGTTAAGTGGCAAAGATGCTTTGTTCAAAACATGTTGATTGATTAGCTGACCTGGGTATATCAATTCGAATTCGAATTCAAACCGATTTGCTACGTCTCTTGTACGAAGTTAATATTATTAAAGGACAAAAAAGCATGAAACTAAAGTTTCAATGTCATCATCAATATCTGAAAATAGTTATAATCAACGTGCTCAAAGTAACGGTGTATCGCCAGATGATGATTCAGAAAAAATTAATAGAGTTAATAATCACTATAACAAACAAATTGTCAATAAAGCAGAAGCCGCAAAACTCTCACCTGGTGCTAGAGCTTCTTGTGGCGTTTTCAAGTGCGCAAAAGATGACTCATATAGCACATACTTTTTAATTATTATTAATTCATTATGTAACAAATATTTTTATGTAAAATTTTATTATGGCAGAAAAATATATGCCCCATCCACCACTTACAAATAGAGGCTCTATTTTGGATAAGATCATCATGAATATATCGTTTATTGACAATAAAGGATCGGCGGTCAGACACATTTAGAATAATGACGAGAGAATAGAAGAATTATTAGTTCAGTATGTTTAACAAAAAAACAATCAACGTTATCATGTATGTGTTAACGTAGATGCTTTATACATTGTTTCACAAACCTGTTTCAATTATCATGTTAAATAATTTCACTTAACAGCTGTATAGTTATATCACAAAATAAAATAAACCTTGGTGTGTTATTTTGACGAGAAATGAAGTTTGTCGAAGAAAGAAAGAAAATGCTTACTTGCGTTTTCTATTGTAAGAACAAGTTATACGTATCATTCTTCAAGATCAATAGTGAAGTCAAGAATATGCAGTATATTTTGTTATATCCGAGCATATTAATGTGTGCTTTATTGCTATTTAACACTTCTTCACAGAGAAAAGATTTGATACTTTTTAACGTCAACAGGAAAAATTATATTCATGTTGCAAAGAGAAGGCGAAAATACAAAGTATGGCATTTATCTTCTAGCAAAAACTGTCAACGTAAGTTTTTAAAATTCATTGAATGCTTAAAACAGGGTCAGAATGTAGAGGGCATTAACAGTGACATTGACATACACACCCAACCTCTACCACATTCCAATCTCACATCCACATCTACAACTGAGACCCACACCCACAACAAGCACAATATATTGATGATAAAGGAGAAACATACAAGAAACATCAGTGGAACTTGATGTCAATGTGAGCATAAATATAAGGGTGTGTTTCAACATCAAGTATAATCTTCGCGAATTATAAATATGCGCATAATAGTGATAGACGAATACTACAACGCTTGTTATACTTCATATTTATAATTTAGTTACTGTCACAGATATTATGGAAGAGTAGTCGCTTTTGTTGTCATTTGTGCCTGCAAAAATCACTTGGCTGGATGCCATAATGGATAATTTCAAGTTAACTACCGGAGCATGCCAAACACATTTGTGATCATTCTTCGAAGGCGTAAAGTTTCCACCGAAAAGTTCATTGATACTTGTATTTTGTTATAACTATTGTCTTTTTTTGTGGGTGTAGATGTAAGATGAAGATAAGTCTTACAGGCACATCAATACCCATGATTTACACCGGGCTCTTTTCTCATCTTGATTCTTGTACAGCATCCTGGAAATATTTGTTCTCGATACTGCTAGATACTCTCACTGGCATATATTCGTTCAGATGATTCAATGACTTGTTTCTGCTTTCATTAGTTTGACTAATTTTTATATGGTTAATTCAGAGAGATAAGGTTTGCGCACTTGATTATTGATTCTTTTGAATAACAGGTTTTTCTGACAGGGAGATCGATAAGAAATCTTTGTTTTCGCAGCGTCTTTGCAAAGTCAAAATTTTTCACATAATTTTACATCCTATACATATTCTTCTCAGAATACGTAATAAGGATGAAGGTGTAGGATGAGGAGTACAATATAGATCTCATCCTCACCCAGATCTACACCCTAGCATAGAGTAAGTGATTCTCATACCTAATAAAATTTTTCATCTTTACGAAAAGAGTTAAAAACGTGAATCTGGTTGTGAAAAATACCCATAGTAAAATTACTTTAGTGAATTGTTTTGCCCATTCTTGATCATTTAATCGATAGGAAGAATCAATAATAACAGCAAACAAGTGTGGTACATGGTAAATTTTTTGAATGATTGAAATTTTCATACTACTGCCAACGATCAACATCATATTAGGCAACACTCATGCGCACAAAATGTTCACTCATCTTTCGGACACTTCGAAGCAATCTTGGAGAGTAAGAAAAATCAGACAATTAGAAGTAGAATTTTGTAGTCTTTTCGAATGTCTATGTAGAGAACTTTCTTTTTATTGAAACTCTCTCAACTACAGGAAAATTTTTCAAAATGTTGAAAATGATATCTGTACTAAGCAAAGTAGGGAATTTACTCCAATTCTTAGTTTTTGCAATTTGTATTGTGTGATAATGTCAACTCTATTGCCAAAGAACATAAAATTCTGGTTGTCACTGACTGATTTGGGCTATTAAAAACTGTTTAGAAATGCTCGCAAAATAAGCAAACATTTTGTACCAACACTTTTGCATTGCAGATTAATTATTACTCTTCTTCTTTTCGTTTTTATCGTTCCCTCCTATGATTAAGTGAGCGAAACATAGAATATAACATATAACTTATCATTAGTATTTGTAAATAGAATATATTATTCATAAATTTAATGAATATCATATAATAAACACTTTCACAATAAAAAGTCAAAATCGTGATTATACATAACTGTCCACCTGTTCGTCTTGTTCTTATAAAATTAGTTTGAGTCTTGGATAATCTTTTCGTATTTCTAAAAGCTGCTCTCTTCCATCGTCATTCATATTATTGAATCGGATGTCCAGAAAGAAGAGTGTCTATGTGAAATATAAAGTAAATAGTAGAATGAAAAGAAGAGAATAGAATAAGTGTTACTTCGTTTTGACGAAGAGCATTTGCAAGATGGCATCCTCCTTGATCACCAATTTGATTCCATTTAAGATTCAATGTGGTAAGTGTCTATGTGAAATAGTAAATCAATGGTAGAATGAAAAGAAGCAAACGAAACAAGTATTACTTTGTTTTGGACTAGAGCATTTGCAAAGTGGTTTGCTCCTTGATCGCCAATTTGATTTGATTTTAGGCTTAGTGTAGTTAGTGTCTGTATTAAAGAGTGATTAAGAGATTGAAAATGTGAAATCTATAAATGTTACTTGATTTTGTTGCAGAGCATTAGCAAAATGTTGCGCTCCTTCATCACCAATTTGATTTTGTGCGACGTAAAGTATGGTGAGTGTCTGTGTACAACAGTAAATAAGTAAAAACGTGAAAAGATGAGATGAATGTTACTCGATTTCTTTGCAGAGCGTTAGCGAGATATTGTGCTCCTTGATCACCGATTTGATTTTCTGCAATATAGAGTGTGGTCACTGTCTGTGTACAATAATGTAAGAGCAAGAGAATGAGAAGGCAGGATCAATAGATGTTACCTGATTTTGTTGCAGAACGTTGGCAAGATAATATGCACCTTTTTCACCAATTTGATTATGTATGAGGTTCAACCTAGTGATTGTCTGTATCATATAATAAGTGAATATCGAACTGAGAAGAAAGGAAATACTACTTTATTTTGTTGGAGAGCATCGGCAAGATGTTTTGCTCCTTCATCACCAATTTGATTGTAATGAAGATTTAGTCTGGTCAATGTCTGTATAAAATAGTCAGTAAGCACGAGAACAAGGCGATAGAATGAGAGAGTGTTACTTGATTTTGTCGCAAACTATTAGCAAGATATTCTGCTCCTTGTGGACCGATTTGATTGAGTTGGAGGTTCAGTTTGATAAGTGTCTGTGTAAAATAGTAAGCGGTTGATTCAAGGAAAGAAAGAGGAGAGAAGTACTACTTGATTTTGCCTTAAAGCATCGGCAAGATAGTATGTCGCTTGATCATCAATTTGATTGACTCCAATATCAAGGGTAATGACTGTCTGATAAGTAGTGAATAGATATTAGAATAAGAGAAGCAAGTGTAGGATGTTACTTTGTTTTGTTTGAGAGTATTAGCAAGATGTATTGCTCCTGGTAGACCCATTTTATTATTGCACAGTTGAAGTGTGGTGAGTGTCTGTGTGAAACGTTAAAAAGGTCAAACAGATCAAAAGTGTTAATGATGACTCTCACGACTGAACATTTAAATTGCAGAAACTTTTTTAAATATCCATTATCGAATGGAATTTATGGAAACTTATGCTATATCATATTTTTCAGGAGAATAGTATTCATTGATATTGTCTGATGTATATATAGATTATTACAATGAATGTATAATTTTATAGTAAGTTTCCTAAGTCTTTTCAGGAGTTCTGGTTTGAAAAAAAGAGTCGGTGCGTACGCCAAAGGTAGAATTTTTCTTTTCATCTCCTTGCGTCAACACTGTACTGATCAGTTTATTTTTATGAAGAATGGTATAGTTATGTGAATCATCTTAACTATCATAGATTGCATAAAAACATTCTTTAGATGTCACACTTCCAGAAATTAGATTAATGTTTTCAATGTATAACAAACAGAGATAGAATATCTTGTCAAAATGAATAATGTTTTGAATATAACGAAAATATGACGTTAAAATAAAGAAAAAGTTTACCTTGTATCGACGATAGCTGTCCATGATTGTATTAATACGTGTACAGACATTTCGCATTGTGCAAAAAAGATTGAAATCATCAAGATAGTTAAGAATTCGATAGATAAGTTCTGTCGGTAATGTATAAAGAGACGGTTTAATTTTTTCAGCCATTGTAGAATCGTTGAAATGCGTGTATGTTCTATAGTGCGTACGTTTGAAATTTTTCCTCTGATTTTAGGTGTTTATATTTGTTCTGTGTCATAGTTTTTTTTCATGATTGTGCAATTACTTGGTGACACGTCATATTTCACATGGCTGAGTAGCGACAATGATGAAATGCCAACGCTTCGCCATTATAGTTTTAATCTAATTTTTATCTAATTGATTTTTATTTGTCGTATTCTATAATGTACAGCTGAATGATAAGAGTTCTTGTACGTATTTTTTTTGTTGAGAAGTCAATTTATCATCTGATAATAATGTTGCACCTCTAGTTCTGTAGACTTTCAATCAGTTGTACAGGATTTGTAAAGTCATCGTTTCATGGCGTAGTAGGACAACCATACGAGTTGGAGCTATTCAGTAGTTATTTGACATGACTCAATTCGAATCGAATAAAATTAATGATATAGTAAGTTAGTCGAGAAAAAAAATGGATTTTGAACATAGAAGATCTTGCAGCGCATAGCCATCGATTATCATTTTATGATGTTCTTTTACAAGTTTTAAGAGGTAAATTCAATGATTGATTAAAATATGAATATATAAAGCGTTCGATTTCATATTATGGCTATGAGTACATTTCGGCAAGACTGACATAAGTTTTACATAATTTAGATCTATGGTCTACTCATGAATAGTTATGGTCATTCTAATGAAATGTTTAATAAAGACGAGGTACTACCGAGAAAAGTCAAAACATTGAATTTCGGCTTGAAATTCTGTGTAGAGATAGATTCGATGGTCGTAAGATATTGTTGAAAGTTTCAATCTAAACAAACATGTCTTTCTACAAATATTTATTTTCCAAAAAGAAACTGGTTTATCATAGAACGACACAATAATCCAGCCTGTATGCCTATAAATAAAATTTTAACTTGAAACTCTATGTTTTCGATTTTTTGGAAATGTGTTGATTGTGTAATTCAACTTCATTTCATTATATCTTTAGATCAAAAACAGTTATTATTGATCACATTCTCTGTTTATTGACGTATCCGTTTTCAGCATGGCAAAGATTATCTCTTTTCTTTGTATTTATGAACGAAACAGCATAAAGAAAAGATAAATAAACTAGAAAACAAAGAATGAATCATAAGTTAGAAATAAATTTTTAGACATTACTGACTTAAACATTGAATATTATTTAATCAAGAATATCATATGTTGATAATGAATGCACATTATCATTAAATTCTCCTTTATTTTATCTTTTTTCTCTTATTACAAATGACGACAAACATATTGTTTTATTAATTTGTTTATCTGATGGTTGAATTGTTGCTTTATCAGAATTAAAAAAAGGGTGTGGGTGTGGGTCTTATCCTAATGTACTCACACCAACAATCACACCCCTTTTTGTTTGTTTTTGTTAAGTTAGTGTAAAGAACAAAGTGCTATTTTTCCAAATACGAAATATAATACAGATATTTGAAATTCACAAAAATATTTAATTGAAGCAACAATATCAGAAAAGTTAATTTGTACTGGTTGTATTCTATCACATTTAACAATTGATAATGTTGAACAAGTTGATTTAGGTTATTAATATATCAATGCCACATCATCATCTAGTTTTCCATCTGAATATAGAAGAGTTAATCTTTATTGTAAAAAGAATATTATTATTTATTTAATAAAAAACAACAACATCAAAATATTAATATTAATATTTATTTAGAAACATCTGATTGTCAACAATTAATTACTGATCGAAATAATAAAGGATGTAAAAGAATTTATACTCAAATATCGTCAAGTAATAAAATATTTTCAAGATTTTATACATTTCAATTGTATTCTTAATGTGCATGTCAGATAATTTTTTCATATTTGTTCTTTTGTTTCTTTTTTTGAAAAAAGAAAACTTCAACAGATTTATAACAAGACATAACAATAAAAGTTGAAATAAAAAAGAAAACAAGTAGAATAATTAATAATTTACAACTTGTTATACGTTTTAGATATGTATTGAATACGGTGAGATAATTGTTTTTTATTTGAAAAATAATTCTGTATCTGCAATTAAATCATTCCTTAATGAATCATCATATTTTTATGATGCATATAACTTTTCAGAATAATTCTCGAGATTAATTTACAAAATTCATTAACAAGAAATATAGATGACGTTAAACACATGTTAGATAGAATAAATCTAAATAGAATAAATAATTAAAAAATGTAGGATAATACCTATATTCTAATCAAGAATTATCTTATAAATGACAATAAATACATATATTCATTCTTTAGAACATAAATTTTTCTTTCAGTGACATTCGTATGTATCCTTTGATTCGTAACATTGAAAACAAATTATCACTTGGATACTTCTTCATTTATTTTCTTGATTTGATCAAGACGAATACCCGATGCAAATAGATTGAGTACTTGAGAGTGAGCACGAATTCTGACTTCATTGGCAGTGATCAATTCTCCATCGCATGCCCAATTACCTAACCTATTTCGTCGATTAATAGTTGGACGAATAATAACTTCAGTAGCACGATAACGTTCAACATTTGACAAATCATCAATTGTTCGACCGTCCTTAGCTACATGATGAAGAAATCGAAAAAAATCCAAACGCCATGAACTTTTCACTAGAACAACATCGAATGATCCATCACCTAAAATATGAAAAAAAAACCTATTCGTTTAACATCCTAGTTCTCATCAAATCTGAAAAGTAAACTATAAATGAACGTAAAAAAATTTTTAAAGAAGGAAAAGATATCACTCGTCAAACAGTTATGGTATATGAAGAAATAAATTCTTTTTCAAGCAATCATACCTATGTGAACAGATGGAGACATTCCATATTTGCTTTTTTCACAACGACAAGGCATGTTGAGACAATTGATTGTTCTATATTGACCTTCACGTTTGATCTGTCGGGATAAAGGCGACTGGACATCATTGATTGTTTGATTGTCGGGAGATTTTTCACCATCTTGTTTGCAAAGTGGATCTTGTCGTTTTACGGAATTACCAAATAAATATCGATCAATATTATTTATCAATATTTTTGAATTGCATTTCTCAGGCGGTTGAGTGATAATCAATTCTGTATGATATGAACTGTTGAGAAGAAATTGACAAAAACCAGCCAAATCATAGCGTAATGGACCAAAAAGTCGCCAATTATCAGATTGTTGAATAATATTACCGAAAAAGCCGTAGGAAAACATTGTTGCCATTAAACGTACAAAGCCATGTTCATTGTGTACCTAATTAACATCATGATTGAGTAAATATGTACACATTCAAAATGAATATTCCTACTGTGGCTATGTCGATGAGAACAGATTCACCGACGATAATTTGTAAAGCACTTGTAATGGGATCATTGTAACCAGTAGTACCAAAAACAATTGCATCCGTAGATCCAGCTGGAATGACGCCTATACGTAAATTAGGCCGCATTAGATTAACATTTGGATCATTCATATCCAGTTTAGCTTGTTTTGCCGTTTTGAGTAGAAGACCATGACACAATTCTGAGAACATCCCATCGCCACCGACAGATACAAGACCATCATAATCATCGAGTGATTGTTCACTAATATAATCTCGCGCATGATTGGCATATTTTGTATAGATCGTTTTTACATTTATATTGGCTTCTTCAAATAAAGGTAATACTTTTTTCTCGTATACAGAGGATCCTTTACCTAAAATAAGATTATTGAGTGATGAACAAGTGAAAAATAATCGTCTATATTTGCTCACACCTTTGCCAGAATGAGGATTGACAAAAGCTACGAGATGTCGAGGTCGATGTTTTAATTTCGACAAGTATTCAGTTAATATCAAAGAGAATTGATAAGCAGCTTCGGAATCCATTTCGAGTTGTAGCCTTTTCACTGTCCAGATGAATGATTCAGAAATATGAACATAACTGAGATCAATTTGAATCGATTCGGACGAAGTTGTTTCATGATTTTCACTGATTTGTTTAGAAGAATGCCATGAGAAATACTGCAATAGTGATGAAGAATTGGGTTCGTTCGATGATTTTGCTGTCAATTTAATATCAAGTATATTATTGAGAAGAATTGTTCGTGGTATTGTATCATTATCAAGAGTAGAAGCATTTTTCTTTTCTTCAATCAATGATTCAAAATGAAGTCGAATCGAACGTGAAATTTGGAACGCACTCGATGGTGCTTCACAAGTATCGGCTCTCAGCAGTATACTATTGTTGGTGCCAACAGAAAGTTCATTGGAATCATCATCAATACAAACACAGAGACGACATAGCTTCGTTCTGATAAAACATGAAGTTGAAAACAACGTGGATGACATTATCAAGTCAATAAATATCTAAGGAAAAATTATAAATAAGAATTTATAGAAAGTGATGATTTTCTCAACAAAAATCAGCTCAAAATAGATAAAATCATAACGCATAAAACAACGATCAACTTACTGATTATGATTGATGTATGAGCGATTAAATCTATAGCTAAAATAGATACCAAGACTTTTTGCGTAGATCTGACAGCACTAAATAACCAAGTTTTTTTCTTTTCTGTCGTACTCGTTGATCTCTCTTTCTATCCTACCCGTGTCTTTTCATATCTCATATATCTCAAGTATTATATTGTTCTCGTTCTGTGCAATAGTATTTGCTCTCTCTATCCTTTCCCTTCAATATAAATAGACGCATAAGTCGATGAGTCATTTCATCAACAGAAGCGTTGAATGACAAAAGAAGCAATTTTCTCAAAACTCGTGCAAACTCCTGTTTTGCTATAGAGAGTTCAAGCAATACTCAACTTTTATCAGTATATTCTTTACATTTTGAAACTTGTATTCTGATCCGATTATAGAGTAGAATAAGGTAGAATAGAACCATCAAAATCTACTCGATGGCTTCGACACGTTTTCTACGAATGTTTAGTTTTAGAAACCTAATGAACTTGTTTCTATAAGAATTACTTGAAGAGCCTCGAGACAATCATAGAATGAAATAAATGAGCTGTTCCGATTTTTATAAGACAAACAGCGAATGATGAATCTTTCAGAAATGCGCTGTAAACAGTCTGCCTGTTTATAACATAAATGTTGATCACCAATTATTTTACAGTAATTTTCCAATATTTTTCTTTGCAGATTTTTATAGAATTCAATTGAATTCCGCTTAGATATCACCAAAACTCTGATACTATGTCGTTTTCTATATATTCTTCAAATCGGATTGTTATTTTTGAATATAAGTAGAAACACTGTTGATTTTATATAGTATAATATCTCACTTAAGGTTTCATATGAGTGTTTGAATGGTTTCTTATAATAATTCGTGAAATGTGCAGAGCTTCTAGGAAGCCATTACTAATTAACACTTAACCTCTCATTGGCAACTGTAATTGCCATTTTTAAAAACAGTGCAGAAAAGGCAGAACGCGTGATATCAATAAACTCTTTACGCATACTCACAAAAGAGACGATTTATAGATAAAACAAACTTTGAGTGCATTAATCGAATTGTTGTAAATGTTT